CCCCTGCTGGGAACTGGCCTGCTGCAACCCAGACATGTGCCCTGTCTGGGAATCGAACCGCGATCTTGTAGTTCGCAGGCCCGCACTCAATCCACTGAGCTACACCAGCCAGGGCCCATTTATTTTATTCTGAATAAAATACCTAGCAATCTAATGAAAGATATGGAAGATATCTACTCTGAAAACTACAAAACATTTCTCAGAGAAAGCATATCTTCAGGACCTTGGACTAGATAAACAACACAAAAAGGGATAACCATGAGTGACAAAAGAAAGCATTGATAAATGACTTCATTAAGTTTAAAAATTTGTTTATCAAAAGACATCAAGAGCATCAAGAGCTTCTCAGTGTGGCACAGTGGGTTAGGCAATGTCCCACAAACTGAAAGGTTGCTGGTTTGATTCCCAGTGAGAGCACATGCCTGGGTTGTGGGCCAAGTGCCAGGTTGGAGGCCTGCAAGAGGCAACCTGTTGATGTTTTTCTCACATCAGTGTTTCCCTTTCTCCTTCACTTCCCCTCTCTTAAATAAATATATTTTTTAAAGACATCAAGAGCCCTGCCTGGTGTGGCTCAGTGGATTGAGCGCGGGCCTGTGAACCAGAATATTGTGGTTCAATTCCCAGTCAGGGCACATGCCTGGGTTGCAGGCCAATTCCCGGCAGGGGACGCATGAGAGGCAACCACACATTGATGTTTCTCTCCCTCTCTCCTTCCCTTCCCCTCTCAAAAAATAAAGAAAATTTTTTTAAAAATTTTCATCAACCTGGCTGGTGTAGCTCAGTGCATTGAGCGCGGGCCTGCGAACCAGACAATCGCGGTTCGATTCCCAGTCAGGGCACATGCCAGGGCTGCAGGCAGGTTCCCTGCAGGCCGGTTCCCTGCAGGCCAGTTCCCAGCAGGGGATGCACGAAAGGCAACCATACATTGATGTTTCTCTCCTTCTCTCCTTCCCATCCCCTCTAAAGATAAATAAATAAAATATTAAAAAATAATAATAATAAAAGGCCAGGCAATTCTGCATTTCTTGTTAGAAAGCATATAGGCAAAATATTGAAAATAAAAAAGGGCAAATAAAGTTAGGAAGTGTCAAAAAAAAAAGTTAAATGACATAATCAATAAAATATATTTAAAAAAAATTTCATCAAGACATCAAGAGAACAAAAATGTGAGCTACAGCCTGTAAGAAGATATTTGCATTATGTAATATCAGCCACCAGAGAACTCATAACTCAGAATATATAAAAAACTATAAATTAGTTTTTTTAAAAAAGGACCAACAATTCAATTTTTTATTCTTTTAATATTTTATTTTTAGAGAGGAAGGGAGGAAGAAAGAGGGAGAGAAACATCAATGTGTGGTTTCCTTTCACTCGCCCCCCTACTACAGACCTGGCCTACACCCCAGGCATGTGCCCTGACTGGGAATCAAACCAGCTACTCTTTGGTTCACAAGCTGGCACTCAATCTATTGAGCCACATCATAAACGAAAATATTCAAGTATCTCAAACATAAGAAAGGTTCTTGACACTTTGTCATAAAGAAATGCAAATTAAAAGCACAAAGAGGTACCATTCAAAGAGGTATCATTCTAACCCTATGAAAGTGACAAACTTCAAAAGACTATGATATCAAGTGTTGGTGAGGAAGTGGGACTGAGGCTTATATCAACTTGTTCCACTTATTCACACATTCATTGGTTGATTCTTGTATGTGCCCTGAAGGGGAACAGAACCTACCACCTTGGTGTCTGAGGATGATGCTCTAAACAACTGAGCTGTCCGGCCAGAGCAAAACTGGGACTGACTTTAATGGTAGGAGTGTAAATAAGTACAGTTACTTTGGGAAATGAATGGGAAGTATCTACTAAAGCTAAAAAATTTATGGCCCAGCAGTTTTCCTGTTGGGTATATCCCTGATAGAAGTGATTGGCTTATGTCCACCAAAAGACTTGCACAAGAATGTTCGTAATATAATAGCCAAAATCTGGAAAATATTTGAATGCCCAACAACAGTAGAATGAATAAATATTGACATATTTATCAATGGAATACCAGTTAGGGGAGGGAGGAGACTTGTACTACACAACATGAGTGAATCTCAGACATCATTATGACCAGGAAGAAGCCAGACACACAAGAACTACATACTGTATGGTTCCATTTACATGAAACTCAAAACTGGCAAAACTAACCTATGGTGATAGAGATGAGCTAAGAATCATCTTCAGGGGAGGAGGGCCTGCTAAAGTATTTTCTGTCTTGATTGGGGTGGTGGGTATATTATGTATGTATACATAAGTGAAAATTTGAAGTGTGTATGTAAGATTTGTGCTTTATTTAAATTAAATGTCCATAAAAGATACATGGAGGGGGGGGCCTTGATTCTCTTCATTGCTCTGCCCCTGCGATACCACGCACAGACCCCTGAGTGCCTTGCTAACTCCCTCTGCTTTGCATCAACCTCTTCAGTGATTTTCTCTTACAAAAAGAGTTTCATGCTTCCCAGCTTTCCTTGTAAGATCTATTCCCTGGGGAACTCCCCTAGCCTTCCCACACGGCCTAAAATGAGCCAAATCCCTTCTTGCTTCAGGGTCTTTACATGGGCAGTTTCACCTGTGGGCAGTTTGTCCTCCCCAACACATAACTGCTTCTCATTCTACAAATGGCAATTTAATCATTCCTTTCTGAGGGATGCCTTCCAGGACCTTCCAGAGTGTTTTAAGTTCTTGCAAGCATCTAGTACTCTTTTTCTTCACTCAACACGTTCTAATTGGACTTGCACATTTATGTTACAATTATCTGCATCTTTTTGTTTGTTTAAATCTGTCTTTCGCCACCAAGTTAGTTTAAGAGTCACTTTTGTCTTATTCGCCACTTTATCGCCAGGACCTGGCACAGTGTCTGGTCCATAGTAGGTGCTCAGGAAATCACTTAGTGAATGCTTGCTATCTGCTATAGTCAACACCAGGTGCTGGAGATACAGTTGAGTATGGGATGGTTATTATTCAAGTTCACAGTGTAGAAGGGGCAGAACCTTTTTGTGAGAGAACTAGTATCACTAGGGAAGTATAATATTAGAGTTGGAAATTTTGGAGAAGGCTTCCTGGAGGAGGAGTCTCATGAGGTTGTATTTTTAAACAACTCAAAGAGCCCCCCCCCCCGCCAACCTACAGAAAACAGACTAATGGTTGTCAGAGGGGAAGGGGGTTGGGGACCGAGTGAGTGAAAAAGGTGAAGGGGTTGAGAGGTACAGATTGGTAGTTACAAAATAATCATGAGGATGTAAAGCACAGCATAGGAAATATAGTCAATAATATTGTAATCACTATATTGGGTATGGTACCAGGTAGGTACTGGAAATAGTGGGGAGACCACTTTATAAAATAAATGATTAGCCATTGTGCTGTGCACCTGAAACTAATAGAAAATAATATTAAATATGAATTGTAATTGAAAAAAGTGTAATGTAAAAAATAAAAAAGCCCTCCAACTAGAGGCCTGTTCTGGGAGGAGCCAAAACTGTGACAGCTTCTGGACTTGATTCTCTTGTTACCTGCCTGTGCCTGTGCCCGTGCAGACACACAAACAGCCTGACTTGCCAATTGTATGAGATCATAGGATTTTTAAGAAGTAATCTCACTTCTTACTGATCAATAGGCTTTATGTGAGGTGATGTTTTACGTTCAGGGTTTCTCCATATATTTTTAAGGCCACCTGGCTCCCTTTCAGTAAACCCAGTCTCCTTGGTGATTCTTGGGATGGCTGGTAGGAGGCTCAGAGAGAAGGCAAGTCAAAGGTGGCTTTTAGTTTTATCGGCCTCCTCTTGTATCCTCACTGTTAGAACTGGACAGTGTTCCACACATTTGTTGCACTATATAGTGATGCACTTTATTTTGGACTTTAACAGCAATGTTTCATGGTAGTGAAACCACTGTAGGTTAAGATCCAAATTTGAGTTTATAAACTCAGCCTTTCCTCAAATATTTCTAGTAACTTGGCTTTAAAATGTCATTAAGTTCTGCCCAGCTTTGCCCCTACGTGGAAGGCGTGAGTATGTGACAGCTCTGTGGGTTAAGGTTAAGGTTAGACACAACATTGTGGGGCAGTAAGAAGGCTACATAGAGAGCTGGGTCCTGAGCCCAGCTTTCTTTGTGGAGTGAGTGGGGAAAGAAGCCCCTTTCATCATGCACCACTCACACACACACTGCTCTCTGACCTAGCTGGAACACCGGGTTCCCCAGATTCCCCATCGGAGGCAGCCATCTGTTTGATGAAGGGGGAGTCTGTTGGTGTGGTCCCGCCATCCAATACCTACCTCAAACGTGTTGAGTAACACGGATCTCTTTGGAGGGAGTCCATGGTCTGTGACCAGTCCCCCAGGTTGTATGTCACCCAACCAGTGCCATCAGAAACTCAACTCTTGGTATCTGTTCCTGCCTGCTAGCAATTGAAGACCCAGGTGGGATGCTAAGTAGACTATAACTAGGGGCAAGCACATGTAAAGGTCTCTGATTTGGAGCTGTACAGCAACTTGATAAGTTGGGTTGGAGGACTCTGGCACTCTGTGTTGAAGAAATGAAGACCCAGCCCCTGAAGCCCTCCTTCCCACTGTACCCAGAGGGAGCAGTCGGGCAGCAGGGTGACAGTCCATAAGTTACTCCTAGACATCAGGACTGCAGCCAAGGACAGCCATTTTAGAGGTCACGGTGGTTTTGAGTTTTTTTGTTTGTTTGTTTGTTTGTTTGTTTTTGTTAGGGCTAATAAATCTCTTGTTTCCATGACAAGGTGTTGGAGTCATGACATTTTGATAACCAAAGGGAGAGTTGACCCACAGTCAGAAAAGAGAACAGAAGTCTAGTTTTTTCAACCAGATGACTTCAAGAAGGTTTCTCATGCCCCTTTTTTTTATACTAAGTATTTATTTGTATGCTGCTGCCAGTGTATATAAAATAATCATCCTTGTGAAATAGAAATTCATGAAAATTCAGAGAGGTAGATGTTAAGGACTGACAAAAGCAGAAGTTTGTATAGTGTGGCACGTGTTACAGGCATAAGCTTTTTGTACAGGCTTCAAATTTAGCTCTCTTCAAATATTCACTGGTTCATGAAAAGTGGTTTAGAACACCTTTAAAGATTCATTTCACTACAAAAAGGAACAGACTTTCTGGGGTCTGAAGGGGTTGGTACTTGAAGATACTCCAGTCAGCAAGGGGTCATGTTGAGCATTCTGCAGACAGAACTGTTTCAAATCTGCAGCTGCCTGGGAAACCTTCACGCGGTTGAGCCCAGCCTCCAGCCAGAGCTGTTGAACCACCTTCTTCATAGCGATGACACTGGAGGAACCAGACATGGTGCACACAAGCTGGGCCGATTTGTCGGTAGTCCGCTGGGCTAGACGGCGGGGGAGCGAGACCAGGGGCGGGGCTCGGAACTTTGTCTCTATCTCATGCCCCTTAATCTTGGCCCCCGGAGGGTTTGCAAATCTGAGGGATTGCTCATAAATTTAATTGCTCAGAACTCAACAAGTGTTCCAGTCTGAACTCTTTACAAGGCCACACAGAAAGGTACTCTGCAAGCTATCCTTTCACAATTCTTGGGAGGCACATTTTGCTGTGCCTCCTAAGACTACAGCATAGACACTGAGCTAGGGTGGTGCCCATGGCCACGTCCACATATTCAAATCTGAGGAAAGCAGGGTTTGGCTCTGTTGGCTGTGAAATGAACTGGAACTGCCCAGGTGTTCAGGGTATCATAACGTCAAGGTCACAGGCCCCAGCACCAGAACCTTGTCTGGTTTCTTCCCCAGCACACCTTTCTTTCCTTTTCTGGTTGTATCCCCTTGTACTTCTGATAGTCTAGGGGTCCTGGAAAATAATCCTTCTCTACTGTGTAGACCTTCCTAGCAGATAAATGGTGGGCATAGCCTCCAGGGTGGTCCCTAGTCCATTTGGCAGCTCCTCATGCATCCAGATACCTCTGCTTCATCTAGCTCTGGAGAGCCCTCAGGGAATCCCCCCAACAGTTTCTCCTGCCTGTATCTCGTGTTCCCTAAGGTGGTACCAGGCATCTTGTACTGGTTCCAGTGGAAGGGGCCTGAAGGTCCTGTAGTCCAGCCCACCCATCAGGGGTCTCCCAGGCCCTCGCCAACCCCAAACTCTCAGAATGATCAAAGGCAAATCTTGGAAGTAGGGTGAGACAGAAGCCAATGGCTCTGCCTGGCTAGGCCATCTTGGCCACAGCACAGCCATTTCCAGCCAAGAGAGGGTGGAGTGGAGAAAGGATAACAGGATGCTCAAATGGTTACATTCAGGGGAGATGGAAGGATAGGGAGTGGCTTCCTCAGGGAGGCAATCTGGACACGGGGAAGTTTCCTCTTCAGCACATGACCCACAGTGCCCTCACCCTCTTTCCTGCCTGAGCCACACCACTCGAGCTAGAGTGGACTGCCCTCACCCCAGTCTCTTCATACGCAGCAGACAGACAGCTACTCTGCATGCAGAACGTCTGGCCAACCCTCTCCAGATTTTCTCCCAAATCCTGTGGATTCTGGAACACAGCTACCCTTTCTGGGGCTCACAGCCCATCCTGCAGCTTCCACATGCTGCCCAAGGGAGACCAGTAAGGTAAAGTAGAAAAGTTAATCTCTCCACACTCAAGCCTATTGCCCCTTTCCCTCTCTCCCAAGAACACTTGATTGTGAAAACTCCTTCCCTGAAGGCTCTTCTTTCAGACAGGACCATTAAAAACTAATGTGTAAAAGTGCAGCCTGGAAGTCCTGGCTTTTATATCCATGAGGGCTGTGCAGGCCAACAGTAAGAACTTTGCTTGCTTAAGAAAATCGTTCTCATCCCTTATGAGCCCCTCTAGGTTTGTATTCTGCAGCCCTTTTGATGATAAGAATGTGAAGCCCTCATAAAAACTAGCCATAGCAAATCTGCTTTTATTTTCTAAGAGGAGGCATCTCATGCCAAGGTCAAGGTGTATCTCTGGCCCATCTCACTAATACAGGGCTCTTCAGTCACTGAGGAGCCTTTGAAACCTTTTTCTGCACCCCTTTCACGTGCAGGGACCTCGAAGACTCTCATCCCTTCCACAGGATCTAGCTTAAACACTGCACATAGCAGATACACAAGGCATCAGGTAGATTCAGGGAGAAACCCTGTTTCCTTGCCTGGGCCTGCTTGGTGTCCTAGGTGGTAAATTGAGGTGTTGGTCTGGTGATCTCTGGGGTGCCATCCCATCCCCATGTGCATGTTGAAGCACACAGAGGTCTATGAAGAGTCATAGACCTCTGTGAAGAGCTGGAGGATCACAGCTTGTCTGTGAAGACCAAGGCTCTAGGAGGGACCAGCTCCCATCTCTAGACCCTGTGGGCTCCATCCTTTTGTTGGCATGCTGGTGCAAGAGAGCTTGGAATAAAGGTGACATGAAGTGACAAATGTCTCCAACCTGTATGGTGGGTATGTGGGTGTTTTTTCCTCCTCCTGTACATGAATGTGTGTTTGATGAATGAAAACAAATAGTCCAAACTTTGAGGAGATAGATATGATAACTCTACCTACCTCCTAGGTAGGTATGTTCTATGCTCACAAAGAGGACTCAATATGTCCACAAGACAGAACACCCTCAGATAAGCTTGAGAGGTCAGAGCTTCAGAGAGGCCACCCATGGTTGGAGGTGTTCACAATGAGTTTGAATACTAACTGTACATATGGCTGAATGTGTCTCTGGAGCCTCCTGGCTCTGGATTGAAGTCTACAGAAGGGGCCCAAGTGGTTCCAGGCACGAGTGGTTTCTAGCACTTTACTCCGCAACCATGATGTTTGGAGTGAAGTGAGCAGCAGTGGCTGGGCACATGGGTCAGAGCCTGCCTCATGGGGAGGGAACCTCTTTTAAAGTCCCACTCACTGTTTAGCAGGTGCCTTTAGACATGGACACTGGAGGCTTCTGGAGCCTGGAGTAGGCGGTAGGAGGACCTCCACATAGATAAGCTTGTCCTGGGACTGCAGGAGCCACAGTTGGCCCTTTCAGAAGCCAGACACCATCATCTTTGAACCCTTTTCCAGCCTACATAAGTACAACGACACTAGCACCTAGGAACACTTTTTCCAACCCAGCTGTTCTCTTTCATCTCACATCCCTCCTCCCTTACCTTTGGTTCCATGGGCCATCATGTCAATAACACTCTTACCCTCTCTCTGCCATTCAACTCTCAGGTGAATCCTTGTTCCACCTTCTTCACCCTCTTCACTTTTACCTGAAAGCTGCTGGGACAAGCCACTTAATCACAAAGAAGGTTCTATTCTGAATTAATGGTTATCAACCTGAAATAGATCCTTCATTCAATTTAGAAATTCTACCACATTTCTACGGTCAATGCACCTTTCTGCTTTCCACTCTCCTCACGCCTCTGTCCCCAAGCTCCCCTCACTCTTTGCTGCAGCCAGAGGTAAGCCCATTGTCAAGCAGTTTTGATCCCCCTCCGGCATTTTCAGAATCACGAAATGAACCAGATCATCTCTCTCCTATATACTTAATTCTCTTACTGTCAACCAGATCTTCCTCTCTGATACTGAAATGTTTTAGTTGCTTCCACCATTAAAAAGCCAACCACAAAATAGCCTCCCCTAAATTTACACCCACCTGCAGCCCCTTCCCACAGTTCAATGAGCAACTAAACTCTAGGGACATCCCCAGCACTCTCCTAAGCTCCAGATCCCTGCCCCCAAGTGTCTACTTAGTATTTCCTCTTTGATGTCATATTCAAAATGACAGCCACGGTCTTTTCCCCATCTTCTCCCCCTCCAAACGTGGTCTTCTTCAGGAGCTGCCCACCACTATGAGTGTCACCACTACAATGGCTGGTTCCAGAAAACCAGGAGAGATTTAGGATCCCCTCTTCTTCCCAACCCTCTTTATCTATTTAATGATTGACTTTATTCCCCATTGCCACTATTAGTCCGTGAGTGGCTTTCAAACTGAGGTTCACATACCCACTAGTATAAGAAGGCAATCTACAGGGAAACAGGAAGAAACTATTAGAACTCTTATGTATACTGTTCTTTTTATTATTTGAAATTCTTTTTATGTATGTTTCATAATGTAAATATATTAGTGCATATTATAATTTATAAATAAAATCTAGGTGATAGTCAAACTTTTATCTGATGGATAAAAGAACAACAACAAAATGTGGGTGTCCTGGTCTAAATCAGGATCGCCTTTTGCTTGAACTATTGAAATAGCCTCCTGACTGATCTCTACATCTATTGATTGGTTAACTGTGGTAAAATATGGATAAAATGTACTATTATAACTGTTTTTAAATGTATAATTTTGTGGCATTAACTAAATTCACTTTTTTCTGCAACCATCACCATGTCCACCTCCAGAATGTTTTTACCTTCCCCACCTGAAATTCTGTACCCATTAAATACAAACTCCCTATGCTCCCCTACTCTGGCAAATAACATTCTACTTTCTATCTCTATAAACTTGACTATTCTAGATACCTCATATAAATGGAATTATAGAATATATGTTTTTTTGTGTGTGTGACTGGCCTTTTCACTTGTTTATGTCTTTAAGTTTATTAATTTATAGCATATGTCAGAATGTCTCCTTATTAAGGCTGAATAATATCCCATTGTATGGATATTCCACACTTTGTTTATCCATTCGTCCACTAGTGGACACTTGGGTTGCTTCTACCTTTTTGATTATGAATAATGCTATGAACATAGGCATACAAATCTACATCCACTTTTGCCTCCCACAATATAGTACAAGTAATCCCTTTACATCCACAAGTATGGTAAAATCACCCTTTCTTAAAACTCGGTTTTGCCAATGCTCTCAGGTAAGACCTTACCATCCTAGTTTCTTTCTTTTCTTTTCTTTTCTTTTCTTTTCTTTTCTTTTCTTTTCTTTTCTTTTCTTTTCTTTCCTTCCTTCCTTCCTTCCTTCCTTCCTTCCTTCCTTCCTTCCTTCCTTCCTTCCTTCTTTCTTTCTTTCCTTCTTTCCTTCCTTTCCTTCCTTTCCTTCCTTTCCTTCCTTCCTTCCTTCCTCCCTCCCTCCCTCCCTCCCTCTCCCCCTCCCTCCCTCTCTCCCTCCCTCCCTCTCCCTCCCTTCCAGAGGGAGGGGAAGGGAGGGAGAAGGAGGAGAGAAACAATGATGGGTTACCTCTCATAAGCCCCTGACCTGGGACCAAACCGGAAACCCAAGCATGTGCCCTGCGGAGGAATCAAACCAGCCACCTGTTGCTTTGCGGGATGACGCCCAACCAACTGACCCACACAGGTCAGGGAAACACCCTAGTTTATTGAATACAAAGCCCTTGAAGGCACCTGCTGTTTCTTCTGCTGAAATGTCTTTTCCTCCTAATTTCCCCAA